GGCAGCTGGTAGGTATTTGGTGTTGGAGTTCCTTGTCAGACTAACACAGGTTTTTATAGGTTAGGTCCTGAAGGAAGAAATTCATCCTTGCATAAAGGAATGCACCACTTAAAGCTTTAGGTAGAGCTTTAATAGTCCATACAGCTCAGTGCAATCCATTAGTTTGAGTTAATTTTAACTAAGGTGATTAGGAACTCAGTAATAATGAATTAGGAAGAAAAATTTTTTTTAAGTTTCTTAGGGCAAAGGAAATGAAACTGAGTAAGGTGAAACAACTTAAAATACTGAAAACTCCAATTTCGTTTCCAGACTGGACTTCAGTACAGCTTCCTAATTGCAGAGCCTTACACAGTGCTTTGCAGCTCAGATTTGTATTGCAGCATCTTCCAGATTTGCCACCTCTCTGTCAGTGAATAAATCACTATAAAAATACTTTGTTTTTTAGTGTTACACTCTTGCTCTTGCAGTAATACATGCCTAGATTGTAGTGCCAGGAGCAATTCCTACCTTAGTTTTGCTTTCTTTGGCAGAGCAATAGTAGCTTTGTCCAGGGTTTTCACCACCTCTAACCGCTGATTATAGATCAGCACTGTCTTCATATACCAAGATATCAGAAACATTCTGTTGAAATGAAATTGATGAAAGAAACGCACTTAGAAAGGCATCAGCATGACCTGCCACAGTACAACACTAACCAATGAAGTTTCTTTCTGGATTTTAATTAGCAACACCATGGTTTCCATAGGGGGTTAGCAAAGGTGCTAGAAGATCCATGTGAAAACCTGCAAGTAAATAAAGACAGGGGAAAGTAACCATATGAAGGCTTCTGGAACTGAAACTGATTGATTATGCAAGTTGAACTTAGAAAAATCTCGTATTTAAAGTGTTACTTAGGGTCTGTAGGCAGCTATATAAGCCTTCTTTAGGGAAGGAAGAAAGAACAGTTAAAATTAATTGAGTTAATCATTATGAAGGAGGCCACTTTCCTGGTTTTGATCAAACAGATAAGAGAGGATTTTGCTTAGGTTTTTTTTTTATCTCTAGCCTCTCAAGACACAACGCAGTTACTCAGCTACAGGTCAGCAGCAATTGCTGTCTTGGATTTTGGGTCACTTCCCTGATGTAAGACACTTTTGACTTGGCAGGTTCACCTACATCCTATATCCCTTCCATATGCTGGGTCATCCTGCAGTTTTACTGCACCCTTTAAATCCCACCTTCTGATCTAACCCTAACATGATCTTTGGATTTCATCTTTGATTGATAGATCTTACTTGAAATCATCTAGCCTATGTCCCCTTTTTGTGACAGCACTTACTTTTATTTACATGTATAATACTTGATTTGTATG